AATAAAACACCCCCGGAACACGTCGTCCACTCGTCCTCCCTCTTTTCGTACGCCCATAACTGCATTGTCGAAGTTTTTTTTTCGTTTTTTTTTCTCCTCGGCGACGTTCATCCTCGTTCTCTTTCTTCATTCGTTCTCCACCACCACCCCCTCCTCATCTTCCGCCTCCCTCGTCGGTCTGTATTTTTCCTTTTTTTTTCCCTGGGTTCTCGAAGAGCGCGCACACCCCCTCGATTACATTCGGAAATATTAGGGGACGTCCCGTCGTTCGACAAACTATCAATTTATTTTCGGCTATTGATTGGCATGGCTCCGGCGCGATTCAGTGCCAAATTTTTATCTGCTCATTTGTATCTTTATGCTTGCATTCCGTGATGCTGTCTGATATTCGACACTTTAAACGGGCCGTTTTGCACGATGCGCTATCATATTATACGACACTTATTTGTACACCGGTACCTTTACAATAGTTGTCGTCGAACTGTTAACGATGCTAAAACTATAATACAAAAATTAATGGTAAAACAATTGTGGGACAAATGAAAAATATTTTTAAAAGTAAGGCCCGACTAAGAGATTGTTAGATGAAATTTCGTGCACTGAGCGTGCGAGCGGTATGCAGTAAAACATGCTCCTTGCCAACCGCGGTAGGTACGTAGAGTAAAAGTCGGTGGACTATGTCCAAATCTATAGATTACGGTTGGTCATATAAATCATGGACTTGGGCTCGGTAGCGGGTTGAATGTTATCTCTCGCTTCCGGTTCAGCGCACCGCCGACATTTCGCGCACACCGCCGCTCGCGCTTGGAATATTCTACGTGTGGGGACAGTTTCGTTTTGTACACAGCAGCGGGAGAAATCGCCACAAAGCATATGCTGCCCGCTGTCCACTCCATTTACCTCGCTACATCATCCGCCGTGATGCGGGACGGGCAGATAAGGGGCGCGGAGGGACCAAGGAAATCCTTTGTATCGTCCCGCGCCGATAGGAGAAGTGGTGCAGCGATAGATATTCCTAAGTGCATCCTAATTTATGCCTTATACACGGTTCATGTACTTGCAACGTAATATACGAGCTGACCCGTGGCTTCAGTGTTAATGACAGATTCTTTGACGAATTTAGAATCTTATTTTGACAAAAATGTTGAGCTACTAATGGTTCTCATAAGCAGAATTGAGAAAGGTCTTTTCCCAATTTATGCTTTAGGACCAAGTGAATCGGACAGCAGTATCTTACAGTTCATTTCAGGCGGACTCCACTTTGATAACAGAATCTGTTATTAAAATTGAGCTTGTGCAACTAATTTTCATACAGTTTTCTCTATAATACTTAATATTCCAGATTTAAATCACAAGAAAGATGGAATATACATATAAAATTAGATCAATATGTAATATACATATAATTTGGATAAATATAAAGTACAATATGTACATATAATTCAGGTTATACAGGAGATAACAATTTTCGATGATAGACTATCGCTTGATGATTCGTATAGATATAGGTAATCATTATCCCTGTTTTGGCACATTATCGTTTTTCGCGAAACTCAACTGATTAATAAACTTCCCCGGAGCTGATATCGATCGCATTTTATTACACCGATAATAATTGGATAAGACATCGTGTTTGCAGATCGATTATTTTAATCGCGAAAGAAAATTATAAGATACGACATTTGTGTCCTCTATCAGCCTCTTGTCGATCGATCGAGCATGCATGTAGCATCATAAAGCGAATAATGAAAAGTTTTTCTGGGGGTCGCAGAAGTCAAACGTGATCCCCATCGAGACTCGATGGGGCGCCCTCAGGAAATCTAAACCGGTAACAAGATGGCTGCTCGGAAACGGAAACCGGAAGCTTGTCACTCAAGCTACGCGGACTTCCGGCGTGTCCTGAAAAAAAGGGAAGCGGTTCTGGAACCGTCGGGGAAAGGGAGAGAGAAAGAGTAAAGAACGGGATTGTTTCAAATGTATTGTTTCATTACATTCTCTGCTAAAAGTAAGGGAAAAATACTATGATATCAGTGAAATCTTTAAATCTTCTGCAACGTGTTCTTTTATATCAAGTATATCCAAGATAGGGACGTAAAAAAAGTAGTTTTACTATTTAGAATTTTGCAACCCATAATACAAGAGAATCTTATTAAGGAGTATCTTTAGTTTTTAGAAATATTGCTGTAATAAGCTGTTTAATATGCTTATATTCCATTTTTTCTTCTCACTTTTTTAAGTAAATATATATACAATAACTTAAAATATTAATATATTGTAGAGTAATTAATAATATAAACATGTAGTTAAAAATAATAAGTTTTAATTGAGATGTAAACGCAAAAAATTCAGGTACTCCCTAGTTAAAGAGATGAGAGATGAAAGAAGGAAAGAAAGAAGCAGATGGGGTTTTGAGGATAAAATTGATAAGGATAAACAGTGAAAATTTGCTTTTTAAAGATTCGGATTTATTAAATATGCTTCTGATATATTAGATTACTATATATTATTCACACTGTACATATATACACAGTTTACATATAACTAATTAATTAAGTAAGGACGAAACATTGGATATTCTTGCGATTATTCGCAATGTTAAGATATAGCCTCGTATAGCTTACTGCGGTATTATAATAATCGTGGAATGTTATATCAGTATAATACAGATGTAGTATTTTAAGATTTAAATATTTTAAATTTAAAATAACGATTTAAAGTTCATTCTAATATCAACAAAATTTTATTTTCGTAGCAAATTGTATTTCCTGAAGTTTTTATTAAGTTTTATAATATTCTTCGAGAGTACGTATATGGATAGGTATATAACAAAATCATTAACAAAGCCGAATTCATTTCGACTGAGATATTAAATTGTTAATCATATTTCCAAACTGGCCTCCGTTTCCGTTTTCACAGAAATCCATTACTTGAAATGAAAAGGATGAAAATGTAGAGCCACAAAATTAAATAATTAAATATTTTGCAAGTATAGAACTCTATCTTGATAGTCTATCGAATACCATATACCTCGAATCCTTTGACGACACGAAGAAAAACGTGCACAGTTTACATCACCTATGTGTGCGAATTGTGTGAAGAAATGTCTACATCATAAAAATTGTTTCCGATAATCGAATTAGCGAATCGCAGTTGAGCCACGAATTCGATCTCGTTCTGTCGTGGCAGTAATTCCTTCCCATATGATTTACTAATTGTTCAGAAAGAGCCGTTAAATGCGTTAATGTTATGTGGTATCAAGTTAGAACGACGTTATGCATTTTATGATTAAATTGGAACTTCTTCCGCTTACAAGATATCTCTTCTCGTGTCACACGCTTTAAGGTCTAATTTGAAATCTACATGTTAAGGAGTCATTATAATGTGTAACAATTTGTACAAATATCCTATTTCGTAAGAACGCGACACCTATATCGTCTAATGAAATTTCTCTACACGCGCGTTTCCTTATAATTATAATTATTTACCTATTCACGTCAAACTAACACATTAGACGCGAAAGCAATCTTTGGTTTCTGATAATTACTGTCTCTAATCTTTGTAAATATCAACACTTGTAAAAACTTTCAAGTAATCGCAGTCCTGGTTTTCAATTATCTTCAGTTGAAGTAATAAGCTTGCGAAGTTACAAGTTGTTTTTTAAATTATCTGTTGCTTAAATTACTTCGCGCGGCGATGTTAAGTCTTTTACATTTGCTTGTACCTTTAGCGATAAAGTTTTGTCAATTGTCAAATTATCAATATTTCTTTTAACGTACTTGAACGTCTCGTACTTGAACTTTTAACGTCTTTTAACGTACATGACTGTGCAACATATGAAGCTACGTGTTACATTCTACGTAAATGACTAATACGTTCGACATTCGCTTGTCTTGAGAATCATTAAAATTTCATTGTAATATTTTTCAAAAATTCTTCTCATCCATAATTATTTAAATTTCTAACGAGTTATCGAAATTGCCACCTTATTTGAAAACTAATAATGATTGAAGAAAATACATCAATATATTTTTTTAAACAAGTACACCCAGAAAAAAGATTTATTTAGGTTAAACAAATGAGATACGTTAAAATAATATTTCTTTGAATTAACTGAATTTTGATTTACTTCTACTAAAACATATGCTAGTTTTGAAGAAATAGATGTAAATATAGCGAATTCGGTTGCTTGCACTAGTTCGCACTAAGGCCTGTTAGTCAATTTTTATATTTAACTTTGTCTTAAATACATGTTTAAAAAGTATTTAGCCAAAAATGATCCGCATGGATGCTATACAGATCATTTTATGGCTCCGAAATATTTCAAGAGATATTTAACGTCTTAAATGTCTCTTGAAATATTGATGATGACGATCCTTAAGTATAAGAATTGACTGTAAACGAGCCTTAGTGTGCACTCAGTGCAAGCAACCGAATTCGCTATTAGAGATTCCAGTTTCAATCAAATAAAAATTTAATTAAGGTAAAGAAATCGTGTCTTTAATGTTAAATAAAAGTCTAGTAAGTTCCAAATTTAAAGAAACTTTTCTGGGTGTATCTGTTGCAGTCGCGAAACATTTTCTAATTCTCACTTTTTAGCGTCATGAAAAATGTTCAAAGATATATTGGAAGAAAGAATTAGAAAAATTTATATATATATGAGATGTTTTTCTAAAAATACTGACCGATTTTACTTCAGCTTCGGGTTCGTTGGACGCGCGTGTTAACATTCTCGCAAAGCGTGTTTCGTAACAAGTCGTACTTCATTCAATTTTACTTTGAGAGGGTCGATTGTGTAAGTATGCTTACTTATGCATACTCCCGATAATTGGACATTTTGCCAAACTCAGAAATAATTTAGTTCTTTATCTCATTACATATCTATGTCTGTAAGAGTGAAACCTATCACACAATGCTAGGCAACAGGCAATAGGAATAGGGAATAGAAGTTTTGACGCGTTGGATTCGTCGGAAATTTTCTTCCAACTAATTCAATGCGTCAGAAATTCTATTCCCTGTTCCTGTTGCCTATTGCCTGGCATTGTGTAATAGGCTTGAGAACAAGTGTCCATAGGCAATGGCCCTATTGTTTTGCATTCAATTTTAGAGATATTGAGCTCCAAAGGTTCTATTCGGTTTCAAACAAATGGTTGGTGTCTGTCTAGACGGCTTCATCGCTTATGTTCTGGGAATTTTTGGGACCTCTCTTGGAACCTCTCTTAGAACCAGAGGATATCTCTGGAACGTTAATTAGATACACCCTGATATTTGCGATTATCTCTTGACAAGACCTTCCGGTTGGTATTTACTTTGTAACCAAAATATATGTGAAAACAATGGGGCCGATCTTGTTCTCACTCTTTCATTCATTGCATCAAGAATCTGATTAGATATGTATCAAGTTTACACTAGACAAGTCGAATACAAGAACACGCGTCTCGAAAATTTTTTGTCAATTATTTTGAATTAATACTCGTTAACTAGTTTATCTATCGTTTCTCTGCTGACAGTACCTGTGGCAGCGTCGATGATATCGTATTTATAATCATTATCACTATTGCAAATTATCACGAATCTTCGAACACCTCAGAATACTTCAACATATTCCACTTCACTCTCGCGAAATCATTCATGTCTTTTATCTTGAATTTGTCTTTCCTCGATCCTTCGTATCTTTACAACTTTTTGTCGCAACATAAGTGTAGTACAGAAGTTATATCTTTATCGGGGATTGCCATCGCGATCCGCACAATAATCATGATCAGCATAAATCATCATGGATTGGTTTGATTCGTTTCACTCTAATCAGCTAGGCTAGACATCTTACCACCAATATTTCTGCATGTACGGCGTCATAGGGACCTGGCCGCTTCCGGGATAGGCGGCAGGTTCCATCAACTTGGACTGGCAGGGTTTGCCGTCTCTAACCAACACCGGAACCGCGACTCTTCTGGGCGAGCAACCGCTGCCGCCGGCCTCGACGCGCTCGCTCGCCGCCCTCTTTGTCTTGTACCTGTGATTTTGGAACCAGATCTTTACTTGCGTCGGCGTGAGGCGAATGATAGAGGCCAAATGCTCTCGCTCGGGCGCGCTCAGATAACGTTGCTGACGGAAACGTCGCTCTAGCTCGTAAGTCTGTGCCTTGGAGAACAGAACGCGTCGCTTGCGCTTCTTGTGCTCGGTCTCATGAGGCTGTGTCGTCTCGTTACCGGTCTGTTGTTCGTCCTCGAAGTCCTGCGACTCTTCGTCCTTCGATGACTCGTGACTATTCTCTTGTTGCGACGGGAACGACATATCCGAGATCGCCGGGCTTGTCGAGTCTGGTTGTTGGAGAACTGAAAAAACGTAGAACGAAGAAATTAAAGTAACATTTCCTCGTGTTGTAAAAGGATATCGTTCTATACTTTCGCGGCTGATATCAATCTCTTGAAGTATTATTTGACAGATTACATCTTTAACGCAATGCAATATTAACTGAAAATGGAGGGGAGAGAGAGAGAGAGAGATTCATTAAATTTTTTATTATTAATTAAATAAATCTTGTCACACATTTCATTAAATGCGAATTATATTTATGTAAAGTGTCGATGTAATCAAGCTGCATATCATTGAAATAAGTAAGTTAGATGGAGTGATGCAAGTATGGTGTTTAGTAATCAACCGTCTCAATTACTTGATTGACGTTAATGAACTGCAGCTGCATTTCGATTCAGCCAACGCCGTCGATTGCTCTTAGCGTTGATTACCGGCAGATGCTAGCCTGCATTGATTTTTTAAATAGTTTTCCTAATCATACATTACACAATCAACTGTCGTATCCATTCGTGCTGGGTTAAACTCATTGTAGAAGCGTACAGGTTTCTTTTTTAGTTATAAATCTTTCTCTCTCTGCTTCAATATATCTCTCCAATATACATCTCCTATTCCAATATCTGAACCTTTGTTTTAATAACGTTAAATAACGAGGGAATTTATTTAATTAGTTGTGAGAATAAAAGCGGTCGAATATACAAACTGTTATTATAATTTGCATTTTAACGCGACATAATGAAGGATTAAATTTAAACAATACGTAAAATATGAAGCGATGATGAAGCAAATGTCATTTTGCTGACGCGGTAATTATGCCGCAGAGAAATACATATACAATAATTTCATTTAGCGAAGTGTAGGTAATGTTACGACCTGGCCGAGATACCGACTAATTTCGTGTACAACGTCGGGATACTGGCTTTCGCCGTAGTACAATATGCTTTTGTGTGCGACCCCTGAAACCCGCTTGGGGAGGGTGTGAACCAATATAAAGCCTATTTGATACCCCTGCTGGACCCCATGGGATCAACCATATCATTTTCATGGGAGATTAGACCGTGCTCGCAGTCGCACTGTGATTTCAATTAAACACTCGCCGCCGACTAATGTCTCCGAGGCTACGCGACGGCGACGAAGAAAAGGGATGATCCGACACGTTTTCTTAATCTGAGTGGCAAGTTATTTATTAGAAATGAATTTTGTCTTTGTCTTTGAACAAAACATACATACAATTGCTGTTATTTGGCGTTAAAATTATTTGTCGAGGAATTTTGCGAGAAGATCAATTTAGTTTAATCTAACTTTTTGTAATATAAATATAAAGATATAGCAGGTGATTTTATCCTATTTCTATAAAATCCTATAAAATTCTGGATATGTTACATTTGCGACGAAAGATCGTGCGTAATTTTAGCTCGTACAATTTTTCAGACCATATTCGATTCTGTCTAAACTTTTTACGAGTCAGTTTCGGGGAGAATTTAATGTAATACGCTATCCACTGAACAATGTAAACGCCCGATATAAAAGAGATCCACTCAATCGTGCTACTCCCCTCTTTACTTGCTACAGGACCGCAATTATTCGTGCCCGATGCGTTTCTCAACGGTTCGACACGTTGCTCGGATTTTTCGCTCGTGCAAATCGTGGCCGCGGAAAAAAAAAGAAGACGGAGACGCGGGATAGGTCGCCGAGGAATTTTTTGGGCGTGACGATACCGATTCATTGGGGGGGCCGGGGACACGGGGCCCCTCTCTCGCATCTGTCCCCGATTCAACATCTGTCCTCCTTCGCGGACCAATCGCTGTTCGGTACCCACGAGGACCTTTTACAGAACCATTAGATCCTGCTTAACCCTCACGGACCAATTGTAGGGTGCTAAATAAATAAGGGTTTCCATCTCGCGTTCCCTTCTCTCGTCCGCCCGCAAAAGCGCGTGAGCGTCGCTTACTAGCGAAGAAAGGGGGCGAGAGGACTTGCGTCTCAAACGCAACTGCAGTGAGCGAAATCGACCGAACTTTATTTCTAAAAATGCAGTAACGTTGCCAATGCAGAATATTGTTGGACATGCAAAATCCCGTAAAAATGTACCGAAAATTGACAATGTAATTAATGTCCCGAAAATAAAAGTCAGTCATCGTCGTCGAATGTTTGAGCCTATAAGCTACTACAGTGCTCACACGTATACATATATTTTAAAACTCGACTCTGTCTTATTCGACGACGATGACTGACTTAGTATCACTCGAAAAGGACCCAAAAGAATAGGGTCGAAACGTTGTATAATAAACTAACTAAATAACTAGCCAGTTGGATTGACTATAAGTTTCCCGTCTCAAAGTTAAGATATTGCCTCTAAAAAGTAAAACACAGTAAAATAGTATAGAACACCCTTTCCAGTAGACAGAGAAGAAGTGGAGTATGTCAGAGACAAAGTATCTTTTGAGACATTGTCACATTCCTCGAATTCCATGATTATAACTTTTCGGGACATTCTCACAGCTTCCAATTTTCGTGATTTTGTGTTTTCGAGACTTTGCATGTTTACCAGAATAATTTATTTATTTCGCACACTCCTTTTAAAGATAAATAATTATTTTTTTAATGTAGTCAAATGTGCTTTCGAAATTACACGTGATGGATATTGATAACTTTTGCCGCGTTGGTCTACGAGGTTTGTAGACAATTAACTAAAGAATAATTTTACTTGTTCGCTCACCGTTCACCTCTTCCAAAGGTTGAGGTAACGCTGTTGGTAGCGTCGGTCCAGTTGGCCATAATAACCCAGGTGGGGGCGGTGGTAGCGTACTCCTGTTCAGATTAGCGTGCATAGGTTGCAACATGGCGGTTGTATGCTCCAGAAATTGCTGGTAAGCCGACGGCACGTCGTTGGCCGTTGGTAAAACCGTCGTGGCACCTGGAACACAAAGTTCCAATAAATTGATTAATTTTCTTCTTTTGCACTTATGAATTTCCTAGCAAAGAAATTTCTTAAACTTCGTTATTTTATTTTATTTTCAAATCGAATTAATTTAATTAAGGCAGATTGAAATTAAATTGACTCACATTTTAAGATATGAAAACTGTATTATTTTGCTTTGCATTGCATTTAAATGTGACAAATTAATGTCATAATGTCATAAAAAACTAAGATTTGTTTCTTTTTAATTATGTTGAATTAATATAGTCATAATATTAGATATGTTTCTTTCTAATTATGTCTAGTTAATATAGTATTGTATAATAATTACTACCTTGCACATCTGGTTCTTCTTGCGATGGCTTGGCATCGTTTAACTCCAAAATGTCGCTTATGGCAAAACCGGAAGTTCTAGCCGGCATTTTCATACTTTCCAATAACCTGTAACAAAAAATTACATAACTGCTATAATTCTAGTTTCGATAAAATATTAAATGGCATCACAGAAGAAATTTCGTTATTCGTTGTATAGTAGAATTTACGTGAAAAATATGTTTGTGTATAAAGATAGCGTACATTATTTAATTATACATCTCTGACATTTATGTGTGCACTTCTCAATTAGTAAAATAGTTGTTAATGCAATTTAAAAATTTGTTCATGTGTTATTATGATATCAGATATTGGCACGATTAGATTTTACTAATTTTTTGGAGTGGCAAGGTACAGCGATGAATAGATTGATAGATAATTCGGATACTATAGTTTAGCGATTAACTAAAATCCTATATATATTGTTTTATTTTAATAAACGTATATATATTCGCGGTAAGTTTTGAGGAAAGCGAAATATTGGCGCGTTTTGCGAACGGATTTTGTGAATTGAAAAGTCTGATACAAAGGTCGCTTCTTGATTGTAAAAATATCGATACTGGTCTCGGAAGTTATAGGACTACCGTCAAAAAGCCATCGGCCCTTTCAGGATTAAAGAAATGTCTTTAAGGGTACAATACTTGCGCGCATTTTATCACAAGCAACCTGTCTTCGAACCTGTGTATAGAAGCGAATTTTTGGGCCTGTTTCCTAAGCCGTACGAGTTATTATCGCATCACGTTCGGCTATACGTTTCAAATATTTCCGACATTGATGTTTCCAATCCTTTTTTCGAATCGCACATTCTTTCACAGACTGTCATTCGAAAATTCTGATGAATTCAAGAAGTTTGCGACGGATTGGGACGATAATTATTTGATACATTTTTTTATTAAGCTTTAGTTCGCTTCAGTTTTCAGTTACAAACGTGACTTTGAGGAATGTCGATTATTGACACGATTTTTATTTAACAGAATTTTATTTAATAAATGCCTAGATACTTACTTACATTTAATTAATTTGTTTATTTATATGATCATTTATTTGATCTATGCAATCTTGGCCTAATTATGTAAAAATCAAATTAAAATATCGGAGAAGTAAAGCTGTCATTAATTGAGCTTCTCATAAAAAGCCGTTAATTTTTTCTAAGTACCAGCATTGAAATCGCCCGCGATTTCAATTTCCTGTAATTATGACACTTTTTACTTCTTAATTTTGTTCTTAGAAAATTTTTACACATACCGTGTACAAAGTATTTAGCTTTTATCATTCGTTTACAACAGGTTACTGTTATCTGATATGAGAACATTCTTCAAATAATCAGCTGAATACATTTTTAGAAAAAGATTTAGAGTTATAGAAAATATATTTTATATGATATTTTTTGTGAGTGTAATAAGACAATGGTTATAATTTTATGTCTATATAGAGTTTAAATATTAATATTGGAATAAATAATATACACAGATATGAAAAGCGGAAACATGCTTGTAGCAACTAACATAAACATATATTTTCGTTTTTTAAATAGCGTTCGGATAACATTAGACGTTGTCAAGTTGTGTTAGGTTTATTAAATGAAACATTTAATTGAACGGCGAATGAATTCTAAGACAGAAAATTGATTGAAAAAATTGAATTTGCAAATAATGAAATACAATTGGAATGAAAGAATTACAAAGTGATAGACTTGAAAATGTATTTTTAAGCAGACATTTTTTTAAACATGTTAAAAGATTTCAAAAAAATATTTTTATTTATCAAGATTAAATATACAGATTGAATAATGCAATTTTCTGACTTATGTAATATTATTTACTCTCTAAAACTGTAATATTACCGAGTTAAATTTACTTTGTGTAAACATAGGGTATTTAGTGGTAACTTTTTGGTATCGGTTTGATTGATGAGTTATGCGTGCCCTAGGAAGCTTCAAGGATATCAGTAGCCGACCGGATATTTAGCGATATCGATAAAAAATTTTAAGGTAGTCACAAGAACGTAAGGACCGGAGAAACCCGTCGCGTAAAGACATTATTGGTGACAAAGCCCGAGCTGTTCAATCTATTTTCTATATTTCAATCTAATTATCGGATACTTGCCTATTTGTTGTATACTGTTAAAATTTAATAACTATAGCGTTCTTACGATTGTTTTATATGCAGAAATTAATTATTATTTATAACGATTTAATATGTTTGATACGTGCAACGATTCTTTTATCTTCCCAAGATAAATCATTTCAGAAAGAAATCAAGGAGGAAAAAGAAAGTAAATATACCAATCTTTTATTTACCTAGTGTTTAAGGCGAGTTGACTGTACCAGACATGATTCAGGAAACTAGCCGGATACGGTAGCAACGGCCAGTGTAAAAGCTTATTCTTATCTGCCATTTTGAGAAGGTTTCAAAGATTTTGATTTGTCTTTATTGGCAACACTTCATATTATTCCTTTTAACGATAGCACGCACACACACACATCTTCAAATTCCAAGAAATCTCTCTTGATTCATCGCGTATTGCGATTTCTGTCTATAACTCTCGTTTACTCTTCTCTCTTGATCGCTCAATAATATTAAATATTGAAATTAACTTCTCGTCTCTTGATAATTTAGAGGATTTTTCTTTGCTTTCTTTACTTCACGTTTCTTCTTTCGGTTTTATTCGTCTTGCGCGATACGAATGAAAACTAATGAAACATCTGTTTTCTGACTTCCACCACGTGTATAGATTTTTAATTCACAATTTACTTGTTTTTACTTCAAGAAAATTAACAGTGTATTATACCTTTTTATATTTATTTCTTTATTTATATTTCTTTATTTCTATCGGCTTGAGTAACTTCTTTAGAAAGCTTTCTTGTCTCTTCAATTGTTTCGCGATTGCCACTGCCCATGATATTTTCAATTTCCCTTTCTTCTCCACTCTCTTCTACCTTTGCCATACAACACTGTTATAGGTCTTTATTTATAAATAACTTCATCTTTTCACCTCAAAACAGTTCGAACATGTACAACAAAGGTCTAGCACATCATTAGTCGAATTAATCCAATCACTGATTCCCGTGCCGTTTTTTCGAGACTGTCGCGACTATCGGTCACTCTCACAAATAACTATCAACGGGTTACACGAAAGACGACTCTGTCCGAGTGGTAGCACGAAAAGCAGGCTACCCGATTCCTTTTCGGAGCTGTTGAAGGACTCTCCTTGTAGTTTTTGAGTGTCCTCCACGAGCACTTGACGGCTAGTGTTCCCTACCTCGAGCAGTTTCGCTTGTCAAGCACCCTCAAAGCGCAGGGCGGGTTCTACGTGGAGGCGGGGATTTCGCGTTCATCCCCCCAGCTCGTTCACCGTATCCCTCCCTGCCATCGACACCCGGCGGTAACTTAGGGAAGGTTTTCCACGGCAGAAGCGTAGAATAGCAGAATGCTGTTGGTTCCTTTTTCATTCTTATCATTTTTAGAAGTCTTACTTATAAAAAAAAAACACGCACACACAGTACCGATAATGGCGTAATTTTGATAAAAATTTAAAATTTATCTTATTTAAACTGTAAGTAGTTTGTTAAAATTAAACTGTTACTTCTCAACCTGAAGTTTCATTTTCGATGATTACAAGAAAAGCAAAAAATATTTGCAAATTTTCCCCGAGACAAACTCGTGAGCTTCATTTACAACTATTTACAGAATTATTTATATTAATAACTAAGGTCTCTCTACATATTAAAAAATTCACATTGGGACAGTATAGTCTCAACATAATTTTCTCTTTCCAAATATTGTTAATTCGAGATATAATTTTAGCGAAACGTCGCTGACCAACGTGTCTGGAAATATTTATCGGTGTATTTTTCCAGCGTCTTGTTAAATTTTTTACATAATGTAAGTTGCACACTTTGTCCGGCATTCGCAATCTAGCAAAATCTCGCCACTTCGAGCGATCTTACGAAGGATATCCCTTGCTCGGGAGATTGCGTCCGACTGGTAATGTTACCGGGGCAAGTTGCCGAGGGGTGGTGCCGTCGGCCGACCAATGGGGTAGCCGCGTGTCGGGGAAACCCTCGCCCGACAGCCCGGGGGTTGATTTCAATCCAGCCCGGCGAGCGGGCCAATCGCCGGGCTTCATCGATCAGGGGGCTTTTTACACCGAGAGCATACTTTACGTCGAGTGTTAATGTGAAAGAGCATTAGCGGTGCTTTTACTGTGTCATTTCGATTTTTCACTCGCGCCCTTTCCCTCTGTCTCCACCCTGTTTTCTCCCTTTCCTCTCCGTCCCTCGTGGCACTCAGATCGCTGCCTATTGATACGCAAAACTGGGTTAGAAGTGTGGTTGCGACTTACGGGCGAGTGTTACACCAATGCGAACGAGATACGTATGATCAATCAGCTCGACTGTCCTCTTTTAGGAGCTTGTTTGTTCGAGTAAAAAGCCGAAGGGTGCGAATTCGAATATGATCGAAGGGACAAGAAGCTAAGCGAAATATATGCCTAATTTTACGAAAACCGAGATGTGCAAATAAAATATGGTGCGTTTGTGTGCCACGTGTACATGGTTAATTTAAAAGTGTGATAATATTAAATGAAGTCTCATAAAACCTCTGCACAAATGCACTGCTTGCTGAAGTAAAGACTCGAATAAAAAGACGCGAAATCAAATTAAAGATGCCAATCTAAATCGAAGAAGTAAAGTAGTACAGAGTAGTCGGGTAAGAAGTCAGATTTGTTGCGACAGTTAAAGAAACTCAGACTGTCGGCATAATTCAGACGAAGAGTGTGACGGCTAATTTGATGGTGAGACATTTATTACGTGCGCTTTCCGTGACGATCACTCCTCTCTTTTTTTCCCTCCGATAATTACGATGTTTGCGCGCGCGAGAAAAAAGACGCATCGATATGCGCAACAGCGAGGCAAGGCTGACCTGATTTCTTTTTCATATCCACCCACCCACTTATTATTCGCGGACACGCATTTATTACGTCGAAGCGGTAGATAAAGCCGGTCGTTTCTCGATTATCATTCGGGCGCAACACGTATCATCATCCGTCGGAATTACGCGTATAAAAAT